CACTCTCACAGTTAGATAAGCCTGCCACCCTCACTGTTAGATAAGCCTGCCACCCTCACAGTTAGATAAGCCTGCCACCCTCACAGTTAGATAAGCCTGTCACACTCACTCACAGTTAGATAAGCCTGCCACCCTCACAGTTAGATAAGCCTGTCACACTCACTCACAGTTAGATAAGCCTGCCACCCTCACAGTTAGATAAGCCTGCCACCCTCACAGTTAGATAAGCCTGTCACACTCACTCACAGTTAGATAAGCCTGCCACCCTCACTGTTAGATAAGCCTGCCACCCTCACAGTTAGATAAGCCTGTCACACTCACTCACAGTTAGATAAGCCTGCCACCCTCACAGTTAGATAAGCCTGTCACACTCACTCACAGTTAGATAAGCCTGCCACACACAGTTAGATAAGCCTGCCAGACACTAACACACAGTTACACACCTGCCACACTTACTCACACACTCAGTGTAACAAAGTCCAGTTGAGAGCCTCTGTCTCCTTCCAGACCACTCTAATCCCAGTTTATTCATCAGTACACAGTTTACAGCAGCTATAAATGGTGCAGTGAAAAGCTTCCTTGAAAGCTCCTTCAGCAGTGTAATACAACAGCACTATGTGTGTGTGTGTGTGTGTGTGTGAGCGTGTGTGTGAGCGTGTGTGTGTGTGTATGTGTGCGAGTGTGTGTGCGCGCGCGTGTGAGTGTGTGTACCTCTTTTGCCATCCACAGTGTTGACAGCCTGGATGAGTAGAGGACTGTTGGACTCTGTGTACTCCACAAACACTATCAGGAGCTTCAGAGCTGTCTTCACCACTAGACGAGACTGAGGGGGGAGAGGGGAGGGGAGAGAGAGCGAGGGAGAGAGAGGAGGGAGGAGAGGAGAGAGCGGCGAGAGAGGAGAGGAGAGAGGGAGAGGGAGGAGGGGAGCCGGAGCGGAGGAGGTGAGTGGGAGGGGGAGAGAGCAGAGGGGAGAGGAGGGGCGAGATAGAGAGCAGGAGGCGGAGAGGAGGCTGGAGAGAGAGAGAGGGAGAGAGGAGGTAGGGGAGAGAGGAGAGGGGGAGAGAGCAGAGGAGAGGAGGGGAGAGGATAGAGGAGGAGAGGCAGAGAGAGCGAGGAGGGGAGAGGATTGAGGAGAGGCGGGAGAGAGAGGAGGAGAGGAGGGGGAGAGAGAGAGATATTGAGATAGATAGTCAGTTAGACATTATCTCCACAAGGTGGCGATATTACACCTCAAATAAACAACCTCCCATTGAACCCAGAGCAAAGACACTCTGTTTTACTAAAGTGAAATAAGATTCCTGCAGAGTTTTCAAAGTATCTACATTTAATTCACATAAATGGAGATGAATAACTGACTGTTCCTCAAAGTAACTGGATTTACAGATAGTACAGCAGGGTTTCCTAAACCTGGTCCTTGGGCCCCCCTTTGATAGTACAGCAGGGTTTCCTAAACCTGGTCCTTGGGCCCCCCTTTGATAGTACAGCAGGGTTTCCTAAACCTGGTCCTTGGGCCCCCCTTTGATAGTCAGCGGGTTTCCTAAACTGGTCTTGTGCCCCCTTTGATATACAGCAGGGTTCCAAAACCTGCGCTTCGGGCCCCCCTTTGATAGTACAGCAGGGTTTCCTAAACCTGGTCCTTGGGCCCCCCTTTGATAGTACAGCAGGGTTTCCTAACCTGGTCCTGGCCCCCTTTTATAGTACAGCGGTTTCCTAAACCTGGTCCTTGGGCCCCCCATTAGTACAGCAGGGTTTCCTAAACCTGGTCCTTGGGCCCCCCTTCGGCCAACGTTTTGGTTTTTGCCCTAGCACTGATTCAAATAACCAACTCATCATCAAGCTAGAAACCAAAACGTGCACACAGGGGGCCCCAGGACCGAGTTTGGGAAACCCTGTAGTACAGTACAGTGCCTTAGCTTGAACCTCTTCTCCATCACTACAGTACAGTGCCTTAGCTTGAACACTCTTCTCTACAGTACAGTGCCTTAGCTTGAACATCTTCTCTATACAGTACAGTGCCTTAGCTTGAACATCTTCTCTACAGTACAGTGCCTTGAACATCTTCTCTACAGTACAGTGTCTTGAACATCTTCTCTACAGTACTGCTGACTCTCTTAGTCGTGTCTGAACATCTTCTCCATACTACAGTACAGTGTCTTGAACATCTTCTCTACAGTACAGTGCTGACATTTCTTACAGTACAGTTGAACATCTTCCATCACTACAGTACAGTGTCTTGAACATCTTCTCTACAGTACAGTGTCTTGAACATCTTCTCTACAGTACAGTGTCTTGAACATCTTCTCTACAGTACAGTGTCTTGAACATCTTCTCTACTACAGTACAGTGTCTTGAACATCTTCTCTACAGTACAGTGTCTTGAACATCTTCTCTACAGTACAGTGTCTTGAACATCTTCTCCATCACTACAGTACAGTGTCTTGAACATCTTCTCTACAGTACAGTGTCTTGAACATCTTCTCCATCACTAAGACAGTGTCTTGAACATCTTCTCCATCACTACAGTACAGTGTCTTGAACATCTTCTCCATCACTACAGAACAGTGTCTTGAACATCTTCTCCATCACTAAAGTACAGTGTCTTGAACATCTTCTCCATCACTACAGTACAGTGTCTTGAACATCTTCTCTACAGTACAGTGTCTTGAACATCTTCTCTACAGTACAGTGTCTTGAACATCTTCTCATCACTAAAGTACAGTGTCTTGAACATCTTCTCTCAAGTACAGGTCTGAAATACTACAGTACAGTCTTGAACATCTTCTCCATCACTAAGTACAGTGTCTTGAACATCTTCTCATCACTAAAGTACAGTGTCTTGAACATCTTCTCATCACGTACAGTGTCTTGAACATCTTCTCCATCACTAAAGTACAGTGTCTTGAACATCTTCTCTACAGTACAGTGTCTTGAACATCTTCTCCATCACTAAAGTACAGTGTCTTGAACATCTTCTCTACAGTACAGTGTCTTGAACATCTTCTCCATCACTAAAGTACAGTGTCTTGAACATCTTCTCCATCACAAGTACAGTGTCTTGAACATCTTCTCTACAGTACAGTGTCTTGAACATCTTCTCCATCACTAAAGTACAGTGTCTTGAACATCTTCTCTACAGTACAGTGTCTTGAACATCTTCTCCATCAGTACAGTGTCTTGAACATCTTTCATCACTACAGTACAGGTCTTGAACATCTTCTCTCACCAGTACAGGGTCTTGAACATCTTCTCCATCAGTACAGTGTCTTGAACATCTTCTCTACAGTACAGTGTCTTGCACAACAATACTTTTTCCTGACCATATTCTAGTTTCACACCCTGTCATATCTCACATCTCATCGGCTGCTCTCACTTCCCTGTTAAAAGGAGATGTGGAAATCAGAGCTACAGCAGCTGCAAGAAACCGTTTGATTTACAAACCCTTCCTGGGCCAAATCCTTCCCTGAGACACTAGTGTTCTAGTCTCTTATTGACATGATACCGTACAATGCAACCAGGGTTGGGGTCAATTCCTTTTAAATTCCAGTCACATTCAGGAAGTACACAGGAAGTTCCAATTCTTTTCAAATGAGGAAAATGTGGAATTGGAATTTGGTTTACTTTCTGAAGTTGCCTGGAATTATAATGGAATTGACCCCAACACTACATGCAACAGGTTCTGCGTGCGTTTCTCAGTTAGTATTGGGCCCAGTGTTGGTTTATGATCGTGTCCAAATCAGGGCCTTTTCACATATCTTTTTTTGCTCAAACAAAGAAGAAGGCCCCCCCTATTTAATTGGTCTCCCCTTCTCGTAGGCCAATAATGGACAACGTAGTGTTTATTGATCTGTTTGTCAGTGGCAGCGGAGTAGGCTGCCCTGTCATTAGTCATATAAAAAGATGATGCTAATGTCTCCAGTAATATAACGTGTAGAAGAATTGAAATGTGTTTATAAAAAGCCACATCTTTCCCGCTATATTCGCTCAGCCATGCACTGAACGGTCGTTTTTGTTAACAGTAATAATATAATAATATGCCATTTAGCAGACGCTTTTATCCAAAGCGACTTACAGTCATGCGTGCATACATTTTTGTGATAGGGTGGTCCGGGGATCGAACCCTACCTTGGCGTTACAAGCGCCGTGCTCTACCAGCTGAGCTACAGAGGACCACAACAGTGATTGAGTTACGTAATTTGCCTAAATTATGACTATCCAATCTAATCATCACATTAGGAATAGGAGGCTATCTTATATAAGTCAGCAAATGTGATGATGCTTTGAATGCTTTTATTATTAAAAAGGTACATTTTTATGGTGAAAATTAGTTTCCCCAAACTTGAAACCCACGCGCTGCGTATGATTCAGAGGCAGTGAATGGTCTTGGTGTGTGTCTGTGTGTGTGTGTGTGTGTGTGTGGTGGTGGATAGAGGGTGGGTGGGGTGGGTGTGTGTGGTGGTGTGTGGGTGGGTGTGTGGTGTGGATATGACGGGTGGGGTGGTGTGTGTGTGTGTGTGTGTGTGGATATGACGGTGGGTTTGGTGCTGTGGGTGTGTGCGTGGTGTGTCTGTGTGTGTGGGTGTGTCTGTGTGTGTGTGTGTGGATATGATGGTGGGTGTGTGGTGTGTGTGTGGGGATATGATGGTGGTGTGTGTGTGTGTGTGTGTGTGTGGTGTGTGTGTGGTGTGTCTGTGTATGAGGGTGGGTGTGTGTTGTGTGTGTGGTGTGTGTGGATATGACGGGTGGGTGTGTGTTGTGGGTGTGTGTGTGTGTGTGTGTGTGTGTGTGTGTGTGTGTGTGTGTGTGTGTCCAGTATAAGATCACAGGCTGCGGGCTCAGGGTGTAAAGCCATTGAACCGTCTCAGTGTGGTTGATCACCCCGTTCATCCCATCTACAAACAGCATGATCTGACTGAGGGCTGCAGGAAACACACAGATCAGGCTGCTTGTCAACAACACCAGAGGCACATCTGGAATCACACACTGTCTCTACACTACACTACTTAGTGTACACTACATGGGGAATACAGACACTACTTATGTACACTACAGGGAATACAGACCTACTTAGGAAACACTACATGGGGAATACAACCACTAATAGTGTACACTACATGGGGAATACAGGCACTACTTAGTGTACACTACATGGGGAATACAGACACTACATAGTGTACACTACATGGGGAATACAGACACTACTTAGTGTACACTACATGGGGAATACAGACACTACTTAGTGTACACTACATGGGGAATACAGACACTACTTAGTGTACACTACATGGGGAATACAGACACTACTTAGTGTACACTACATGGGGAATACAGACACTACATAGTGTACACTACATGGGGAATACAGTTTAGGTTCCATTTCCATAGACCCAGCAGGGTAATATACTCTCTGTTTCCACCATGCAGGAGTCAGTGGTTGGTATAATGTCGGGTTCCACCATGCAGGAGTCAGGGTGGTATAACGCTCTCTGTTTCCACCATGCAGGAGTCAGGGTTGGTTATAACGCTCTCTGTTTCACCATGCAGGGTCATTTGGTTGGTGTAACGCTCTCTGTTTCCACCAGGGGCAGGAGTTCAGTGGAAACGCTCTCTGTTTCCCCATCAGGGGGTGGGTAACTCTCTCTGTTTACCACCCTGTTAGGAGTCAGTGGTTTGGTATAACGCTCTCCTCTCTGTTCCACCATGCAGGAGTCAAGTGGTTGGTGTAACGCTCTCTGTTTCCTTTCCACCCTGAGAGTCATGGGTTGGTATAAACCTACTCGTGTTTCCAACCATGCAGGAGTCCAGTGGTTGGTATAAACCTCTCATGTTTCCACCAATGCAGGAGTCAGGGTTGGTATAACGGCTCTCTGGTTCCACCATGCCAGGAGGTCAGTGGTTGTGTAAACTCTCTCTGTGTCCACCCTGCAGGAGTCAGTGGTTGGTGTAAACCTCTCTCTGTTTCCACCAATGGCCCGGAGGTCAAGTGGTTGGTATAACAAAGCTCTCTGTTCCACCATGCAGGAGTCAGTGGTTGGTGTAACGCTCTCTGTTTCCACCATGCAGGAGTCAGTGGTTGGTATAAAGCTCTCTGTTTCCACCATGCAGGAGTCAGTGGTTGGTATAACGCTCTCTGTTTCCACCATGCAGGAGGTTAGTGGTTGGTATAAAGCTCTCTGTTTCCACCATGCAGGAGTCAGTGGTTGGTATAAAGCTCTCTGTTTCCACCATGCAGGAGTCAGTGGTTGGTATAACGCTCTCTGTTTCCACCATGCAGGAGTCAGTGGTTGGTATAACGCTCTCTGTTTCCACCATGCAGGAGTCAGTGGTTGGTATAACGCTCTCTGTTTCCACCATGCAGGAGTCAGTGGTTGGTGTAACGCTCTCTGTTTCCACCATGCAGGAGTCAGTGGTTGGTATAAACTCTCTGTTTCCACCCTGCAGGAGTAAAGTGGTTGGTTAAACGCTCTCGTTTCCCCCATGCAGGAGTCAGTGGTTGGTTAAAGCTCTCTGTTTCCACCATGCAGGAGTCCAGTGGTTGGTATAAAGCTCTCTGTTTCCACCATGCAGGAGTCAGTGGTTGGTGAAAACGCTCTCTGTTTCCACCATGCAGGAGTCAGTGGTTGGTATAACGCTCTCTGTTTCCACCCTGCAGGAGTCAGTGGTTGGTATAACGCTCTCTGTTTCCACCATGCAGGAGTCAGTGGTTGGTGTAAAGCTCTCTGTTTCCACCATGCAGAGTCAGTGGTGGGTATTAAAGCTCTCTGTTTCCACCATGCAGGAGTCAGTGGTTGGTGTAACGCTCTCTGTTTCCACCATGCAGGAGTCAGTGGTTGGTATAACGCTCTCTGTTTCCACCATGCAGGAGGTTAGTGGTTGGTATAAAGCTCTCTGTTTCCACCATGCAGGAGTCAGTGGTTGGTGTAAAGCTCTCTGTTTCCACCATGCAGGAGTCAGTGGTTGGTATAAAGCTCTCTGTTTCCACCATGCAGGAGTCAGTGGTTGGTATAACGCTCTCTGTTTCCACCATGCAGGAGTCAGTGGTTGGTATAACGCTCTCTGTTTCCACCATGCAGGAGTCAGTGGTTGGTATAAAGCTCTCTGTTTCCACCATGCAGGAGTCAGTGGTTGGTGTAACGCTCTCTGTTTCCACCATGCAGGAGTCAGTGGTTGGTATAAAGCTCCTGTTTCCACCATGCAGGAGTTAGTGGTTGGTTTAAGCTCTCTGTTTCCACCATGCAGGAGTCAGTGGTTGGTATAAACGCTCTCTGTTTCCACCATGCAGGAGTCAGTGGTTGGTATAACGCTCTCTGTTTCCACCATGCAGGAGTCAGTGGTTGGTGTATTAAACCGTAAGTGTTCCTCTGCACACAGCAGCAGCAGAGTTCTCTCTGGATCTACTGTTTATGCTGGCTTGGACAGAGGAACAACACTCTCCGCTATCCTCCATCCTTCCCCCTCCCCTCCCTCTCTCCACAGGCTGCAGTGTGTCAGGAGTCAGGACCAGGCATGAAGTATCATGATACTAAAGCCCTAACTCAGTGTCCTCAGTATCTTTTGATATAAAGCCCTGACGTTCAGTGTCCTCAGGATCATGATATAAAGCCCTAACGTTCAGTGTCCTCAGTATCAGGGATACTAAAGCCCTAACGTTCAGTGCCTCAGTATCATGATATAAAGCCTACGTTCCAGGTCCTCAGTATCATGATATAAAGCCCTACGTTCATGTCCTCAGTATCTGATGCTAAAGCCCCCTTTGAACGGTCAGTGTCCTCGTATCATGAACTGAAGCCCTACGTTCAGTGTCCTCAGTATCATGAGGGCTAAAGCCTGACGTTCAGTGCCTCAGTATCATGATACTGAAGCCCTCGTTCAGGTCCTCAGTATCATGTACTAAAGCCCTAAGTTCATGTCCTCAGTATCATGATATTAAGCCTGCGTCAGTTCCCTCAGTATCATGATGCTAAAAGCCCTGATTTTCCCAGTGTCTCAGTATCATGATAGGGAAGCCCTACTTTCAGTGTCCCGTATCATGATGCTAAGCCCCAACGTTCAGTGTCCCTCAGTATCATGATCTGAAGCCCTAACGTTCAGTGTCCTCAGTATCATGATGCTAAAGCCCGACGTTCAGTGTCCTCAGTATCATGATGCTAAAGCCCTGACGTTCAGTGTCCTCAGTATCATGATGCTGAAAGCCTAACGTTCAGTGTCCTCAGTATCATGATGCTAAAGCCCCTAACGTCAGTGTCCTCAGTATCATGATACTGAAGCCCTGACATTCATGTCCTCAGTATCATGATGATAAAGCCCCTGACGTTCAGTGTCCTCAGTATCATGATACTAAAGCCCTGACGTTCAGTGTCCTCAGTATCATGATTATAAAGCCCCATGACGTTCAGTGTCCTCAGTATCATGATACTGAAGCCCTGACGTTCAGTGTCCTCAGTATCATGATACTAAAGCCCTGATGTTCAGTGTCCTCAGTATCATGATACTGAAGCCCTGACGTTCAGTGTCCTCAGTATCATGATACTAAAGCCCTGACGTTCAGTGTCCTCAGTATCATGATGCTAAAGCCCTGACGTTCAGTGTCCTCAGTATCATGATACTGAAGCCCTGACGTTCAGTGTCCTCAGTATCTGATATAAAGCCTGACGTTCAGTGTCCTCAGTATATGATAGAAGCCCTGACGTTCAGTGTCCTCGGGTATATGATACTAAAAGCCCTAACGTTCAGTGTTCCTCAGGATCATGATGCTAAAGCTGGACGTCAGGTCCTCAGTATCATGATGCTTCTAAAGCCTGAACGTTCAGTGTCCCGTCTCATGATGCTAAGCCCTAAACGTTCATGTCCTCATATCATGATACTGAAGCCCGACGTTCATGTCCTCAGTATCAATGATACTGAAGCCCACGTTCAGGTCCTCAGTATCATGATACTAAAGCCCTGACTTTCAGTGTCCTCAGTATCATGATACTAAAGCCCTGACGTTCAGTGTCCTCATATCATGAACTGAAGCCCTGACGTCCGTCCTCAGTATCATGATACTAACCCCCTAACGTTCAGTGTCCTCAGTTCATGCCTAAGCCCTGACTTCAGTGTCCTCAGTATCATGATGCAAAGCCTAACGTTCAGTGTCCTCAGTATCATGATGCTAAAGCCCTAACGTTCAGTGTCCTCATTATCATGATACTGAAGCCCTGACGTTCAGTGTCCTCAGTATCATGATACTAAAGCCCTGACGTTCAGTGTCCTCAGTATCATGATACTAAAGCCCTGACGTTCAGTGTCCTCAGTATCATGATACTGAAGCCCTGACGTTCAGTGTCCTCAGTATCATGATACTAAAGCCCTACGTTCAGTGTCCTCAGTATCATGATACTAAAGCCCCGTTCAGTGTCCTCAGTATCATGATACTGAAGCCCTGACGTTCAGTGTCCTCAGTATCATGATACTGAAGCCCTGACGTTCAGTGTCCTCAGTATCATGATACTGAAGCCCTGACGTTCAGTGTCCTCAGTATCATGATGCTAAAGCCCTAACGTTCAGTGTCCTCAGTATCATGATGCTAAAGCCCTGACGTTCAGTGTCCTCAGTATCATGATGCTAAAGCCCTGACGTTCATTGTCCTCAGTATCATGATACTAAAGCCCTGACGTTCAGTGTCCTCAGTATCATGATGCTAAAGCCCTGACGTTCATTGTCCTCAGTATCATGATGCTAAAGCCCTGACGTTCATTGTCCTCAGTATCATGATACTAAAGCCCTGACGTTCAGTGTCCTCAGTATCGTAGAACTGAACGGTAACAGTAATAATTGTAGAAGTATCATCAGTCGAGGTATTTATTTCTAAACCCCCTATTGTGCAACATTCATGCAAACTTGTTTCGAAATATGTATGTATGAGAAAACTATTTAAGTGACATATTGGGTAGATAAGTCTTTGTTAGATGAGTGGCATTTTATTGTTGAGGTCCCACTTTCGTGTTGAGATCCTACTTACCTCTGAGAATGTAGTTCTGGTAGTTGTGGTCAGCCTCTGCTCCAACCTTGACGAAACACATCAAGCCTTCTGAATTCACAAACTCTGGCACCAGGTCTTTGTCATCCTACAACACACAGCAGATCGTTAAGAGAGAGGATCCCATGTCATAGAAATGGAACAGAAAGCCTACATGGCCACTTGATTTATTTGTAGCGGCAGTTTAGACCCGAAACAGACACTTACGTTCCCCGCACACTAGCTACCTTCTCAAACTGTTAGCTAACATTAGCGAACGTTCACGGCTAACACGAAACAAAATGGAACTTGTTAGCTAACGTTAGCGAACGTTCACGGCTAACACAAAACAAATGGAACATCTTAGCTAACGTTAGCGAACGTTCACGGCTAACACAAAACAGATGGAACATCTTAGCTAACGTCAGCAAAACTATTTCCCTTGTTGAACGCACCTCAGCTGTATTTGTGGTTCATTGACTGTCTTCGTGTTCAGGTGTTTAACTATGACCTCTGACCTGACCTCTGTCATCCAGAGAAGACAGAACATATTCACATTCAGATCCATAATGAATGACAGTCATTGATTTATGATTAGACATGCAGCTATCACGATGCCATTATAACAATAGAACAAGGCACTTCACCCCCCACAACAACTGCTTCCCCGGGGGCCCAGTGTGGCAGACCCCTGCTTCCCCGGGGGCCCAGTGTGGCAGACCCCTGCTCCCCGGGGGCCCAGTGTGGCAGACCGCTGCTCCCCGGGGGCCCAGTGTGGCAGACCCCTGCTCCCCGGGGGCCCAGTGTGGCAGACCCCTGCTCCCCGGGGGCCCAGTGTGGCAGACCCCTGCTCCCCGGGGGCCGAGTGTGGCAGACCCCTGCTTCCCCGGGGGCCCAGTGTGGCAGACCCCTGCTCCCCGGGGGCCCAGTGTGGCAGACCCCTGCTCCCCGGGGGCCCAGTGTGGCAGACCCCTGCTCCCCGGGGGCCCAGTGTGGCAGACCCCTGCTCCCCGGGGGCCCAGTGTGGCAGACCCCTGCTCCCCGGGGGCCCAGTGTGGCAGACCCCTGCTCCGATCTCTAGATATTGTTTCTCTCACCCATCTATACACAATACTAAATAAATGACAAAGTGAAAACACGTTTTTATAAATTTTTGCAAATGTATTGGAGAAAAACCCCCAGAAATATCTCATTTACATAAGTAAACACACCCCTGACTCAATACTTTGTAGAAGGACCTGGGTAAGTCTTTCTGGGTAGCAGGTAGCTTAGTGGTTAAGAGCGTTGTGCCAGTAACCGAAAGGTCGCTGGTTCTAATCCCCGAGCCGACTAGGTGAAAGAAGAAAAAAAATCTGTCGATGTGCCCTTGAGCAAAGCACTTAACCCTAATTGCTCCTGTAAATCGCTCTGGATAAGAGCGTCTGCTAAATGACCAAAAAATAAATAAAATAAGAATAACAGGTCTTTAAGAGCACCTGGATTGTGCATCATTTGCACATGAATCTTTTCAAAACTCTTCAAGCTCTGTCAAATTGGTTGTTTATCATTGCTAGACAACGTAGATTTAAGTCAAAACTGTAACTCGGCCACTCAGGAACATTTTACATTTGTACATTTTAGTCATTTAGCAGACGCTCTTATCCAGAGCGACTTACAGGAGATTGGAACTCGGTAGTGAGTGTTGCAACCGAGGACAGACGATTTTTACGCGCAAAAGCGCTTCAGCACTCGGCGGTCCCGTTCTGTGAGCTTGTGTGGCCTACCACTTCGCGGCTGAGCCGTTGTTGCTCCTAGACGTTTCAACTTCACAACAACAGCACTTACAGTTGACCGGGGGCAGCTCTAGCAGGGCAGAAATGTGACGAACTGACTTGTTAGAAAGGTGGCATCCTATGACGGTGCCACTTTGAAAGTCACTGAGCTCTTCAGTACGGGCCATTCTACTGCCAATGTGTGTCTATGGAGATTGCATGGCTGTGTGCTCGATTTTATAAACCTGTCAGCAACGGGTGTGGCTGAAATAGCCGAATCCACTAATTTGAAGGGGTGTCCACATACACTATATACACAAAAGTATCTCAAAATCATTGTCATGTAGTTAATAAACATTATATCAAAATCTAAAGGAAAATGACACAAACCTAAAAAGTATCTTCTATTGCCAACTATGTAAAAATAGAAATAAAAACATTGCAGCCTGCAGGTAGAAAATATCCTGATAAAAATAAATATCCTATAAATGAAATTGGCTACGCACGGCCTGTCTGCAACGAACTTGAAACATTGTATCAACTTAACTTGGGTCGGGTCCGAGGCTCTCACTAGTAAACTTGCAACATTGTATAAAACAATTCTGGTCCCTCAGAGTTTCCCCTCCAGTGAGCTCGGGACAGAAACAGCTGTGGACTATTTGCGCAAGGGTATAAGAAGCAGTGCTTGACTTCGGCTGGAGCTCACCGGAGCGGAGAACCGGCACCTCAGATGTTCTAGTGCTTGACCTCCTGTTCCTCTTATAGAATATTAACTCAAAAAGTATTGTGGAGCTCCTGCACCTAAATATAAAACAGTGACATCACCCAAAATGGAGTACCGGAACCTTCCGGTCCAAAAGTTTGGACACACCTCCTCATTCAAGGGTTTTTCTTTATTTTTTACTATTTTCTACATTGTAGAATAATAGTGAAGACATCGAAACTATGAAATAACACACATGGAATCATGTAGTAACCCAAAAAAAGTGTTAAACAAATCGAAATATACTTTATATTTGAGATTCTTCAAATAGCCACCCTTTGCCTTGATGACAGCTTTGCACACGCTTGGCATTCTCTCAACCAGCTTCATGAGGTAGTCACCTGGAATGCATTTCAATTAACAGGTGTGCCTTCTTAAAAGTGAATTTGTGGAATTTCTTTCCTTCTTAATGCGTTTGAGCCAATCAGTTGTGTTGTGACAAGGTAGTGGGGGTATACAGAAGATAGCACTATTTGGTAAAAGACCAAGTCCATATTATGGCAGCGTCACTGCGTTTTGGTACACCAGAAGTACATTCATTTCCAATGGAATGCTGTGTTTGTCTTGCAACGTTTGCGTTGCAGAGGCCATTGCGGTGGGTTCTGTGGGGTTGGATTCACGTTGGATTTATCTGGTAGCAGAAGGTGAATGTTGCACTTTTGTTGCGCACGTATCCAGATGATGCTGCGTACCATTTTTTTGTGATCGAGGCGTTAATCAACATTGACAGGAACGCTCCAAACAATAGACAATGACTCAATTGACAGAACTCATTAACGGAATGAAATAAACCAGAACATGTTCCTCAGAAGTGTAGCCGAGGTTGTGTTCTCTGCAAACAACGTGTCCACTCCGACAACGACAACGGTAAAAGACTGGAATAATAATATTATTGAATGCATTAACAGAAATTACAGTAACATTGTAGATTAGAAACTACAGTAATGAACGGTTAATGTACTACTGGTGATATATGTAACGGGGAATTGATAGACAACGAATGTGCACAAACTGGCGGGACAGAGCGCATTCTGGAGAGAGAAGTGCATTGTGATTTTCATTTTGTATTAAATTTGTTTAAAAAAATCTAAAAACATAAAATTCCACTTTGACATTACGGGGGGGCAGTGGCGGCTCCTGAAAAAATTCTCAGGAGGGGCAATTTTTCTGATGATTTAGGTGACCTACACACATTTTAAAAAATATATGTCCAGCAACAACATGAAGACAGGGGCAGCATATAAGTCAATACCAGAAGCATTTATTGACTGATCTGGGGAGATGGATTCCAGTTTCTGTGACAGATTATAAATAATCTCTGATGCCTTTGTTATATTAGCTTTTGGTTGAATGTACTGTCGTAGTAAATATATAATGTTATAGCTTGGTCTGACTAAAATCTTGTGCATGACCCATTTTGTGTTGGGCCTTTGTATTCAATACAATGAACAAGAGTCCTATCTTGTCAGCAGGTGGCTAAGGATAACACCCACGCCATAGGTCTCTCAGTTCTTCCAACTCACGAGTTCTTGCCCTGAGGACACACACACACACACCCACACACACCCACACACACACACACACACACACACCATCACTGATAACAAACACACACACACACACACACACACACACACACACTGATAACAAACACACACACACACACACAAATCCTCTTCTCTTAGGCTGAACATCTGAAGACAGAGAACCCGACTCAGAGCCAATGCAACAGTGACACTAGCCTGGAGGTGACCTCGCCCAACTCATCAGGACCAATCAGAAGATCAGAACTACTAGATTCAACCTACTTCATTTTATTGTATAAAATGTCAGCACACAATGTTTAGGGGCTCTTCTGATAAACTCCCTACGAGTTTGACGAACGGGTCCGTGCACGCGATTCCAGATATCTTTACCTCTGAATAAACTGCCTTATATTATACAATTATCCACCTTGTCCAAAAGTCTCTACTTGGTCTCCGTTCTCCAGTAAACTTGTTTTATCAACAATAGTAAGGTTCAATGACACAGAAAGCAGTTCAATGTCGGGGTACAGAGTCGCTCTCTTACCAGGATCGCGGTCCGCTCTGACCAGGGTGAAGCCAGCCGGCTCCACCTCTCTGTCCGGGACTCTGTCATCCAGCCAAGTCTCCCAGCTGTATTGGGATTCCGCTGCCAGCAGCGTTTTCATTATTTAGTCCGTTCGTAGCGGGTATGTACACGATCAACAAGATCAGTCCAAAACCGAAGATCAGTCCAAAGCAGAATGTTTGCAGAATGTTTGTAAACTAAGTCTACAAATTAAAAACATAAAATAACGCCACACTGCAGGTCGCAACATAGACGCTGCTAGCCGCCATTGTCTTAGTTACGTTCAACGTTACGTCACGTATGACGAAAGCGCGTAAGTGCATGCCCACAGACACCCATAGAGAATGTATTGAAAGCTTTGAAATGTGAAAAAAATAGATTTTACATGACAGGCTATGAGAGACTTCTGGGCGATTTTCAACCTGACTGAAATCGCCCAAAAAACGGGCGGGGCCATTTGAAGCACGACTTTAGCCTGATTTGACATTTAGTGGCTGGCAGATCAGACGTGAACACTGATAACTGCTGTTGCCGTGATATAATTGATTAGAAAAAAAATCCCTTCCTTTTCCCGTTTGGCAGTGCGTCGCCCATATCGCCCTATTGAACAAGCCGTCCCTGCGGGGGGGTATTGTGTTTAGTCCAGTGACTGGACTCAGGCTCTATCACAACATCATGTGTAATAAGTCAAGGGGTGTGAATACTTTCTGAATGCGCTTTCTGAATGCGCTGTATCCATGTGTCTTTCAGAGGGTTGGGATAAAGCAGAAGTCACATTTCGGGTTGGACCTAGTGTACAATTGATGAATAAAGTGGTCCTCTGTAGCTCAGCTGGTAGAGCACGGCGCCTCGTAACGCCAGGGTAGTGGGTTCGATCCCCGGGACCACCCCCATACGTAAAAATGTATGCGCGCATGACTGTAAGTCGCTTCGGATAAAAGCGTCTGCTAAATGGCGTATTAATACGACCACCTGCTGGCGGTCTGAATGCTCCTACTGTGGGACTCGAGAGAATCACAGAGAACAATCACAGGCACTATAGCATGTCATCCCAAATGGCACCCTATTCCCTATATAGTGCACTACTTTTGACAACAGCCTTACACACACACACACACACACACACACACACCGTATTTGGGACACGCCCTATACATTCTCGTCAACTTGAGTTATCAACCCTTTCATCTCTCAAATGATTACAATGAAGTCTCTGGCATGACTGGAATGCATTCCCCCCCCTCCCCCTCCTCTCTCACTCCATTCTTCCTTGTTCCTCTGTTCCAGTCTAGTTAGACACAGGGTAAGGGGGGTAGAGCCATTTCCTCTCACTGAGAGGAGGAGGAGGAGGGTGGATGGTGGATGTGATATGGAGAGAATCAGCCTATGCTTAAAATATGGAGCGTGGTCCTCAGTAATGTGTTGTATTGGATTTGGCCCAAACATAACACTTCTGTATTCAGGACAAAAAGTCAATTGCTTTGCCACATTCTGACAATTTTATTAGTGTTTACCATAGATAATATATTGGTCTTTACCATAGATAATATATTGGTCTTTCCAGAAATAATAATTGGTCTTTACCATAGATAATATATTGGTCTTTACCATAGATAATATATTGGTCTTTACCATAGATAATATATTGGTCTTTACCATAGATAATATATTGGTCCTTACCATAGATAATATATTGGTCTTTACCATAGATAATATATTGGTCCTTACCATAGATAATATATAGGTCTTTACCATAGATAATATATTGGTCCTTACCATAGATAATATATTGGTCTTTACCATAGATAATATATTGGTCTTTACCATAGATAATATATTGGTCCTTACCATAGATAATATATAGGTCTTTACCATAGATAATATATTGGTCCTTACCATAGATAATATATTGGTCTTTACCATAGATAATATATAGGTCTTTACCATAGATAATATATTGGTCCTTACCATAGATAATATATAGGTCTTTACCATAGATAATATATTGGTCTTTACCATAGATAATATATTGGTCTTTACCATAGATAATATATTGGTCTTTACCTGGAAGAGCTGCTTCAGAGAGAACAGGGACCTCCGGAGCTCAGGTCCATGAGAGTTGTACAGCTTCTCTGGAAGAGAGATCAGAGTAATGTGGTTTACACCAATAACATCCATATGACTGGAAACAACATCAATATGACTGGAAACAACATCCATATGACTGGAAACAACATCAATATGACTGGAAACAACATCCATATGACTGGAAACAACATCAATATGACTGGAAACAACATCAATATGACTGGAAACAACATCCATATGACTGGAAACAACGTCAATATGACTGGAAACAACATCAATATGACTGGAAACAACGTCAATATGACTGGAAACAACATCAATATGACTGGAAACAACATCCATATGACTGGAAACAACATCCATATGACTGGAAACATCAATATGACTGGAAACAACATCCATATGACTGGAAACAACATCCATATGACTGGAAACAACATCAATATGACTGGAAACAACATCCATATGACTGGAAACAACATCAATATGACTGGAAACAACATCCATATGACTGGAAACAACATCAATATGACTGGAAACAACATCAATATGACTGAAACACATCCATATGACTGGAAACAACGTCAATATGACTGAAACAACTCATATGACTGAAACAACGTCAATATGACTGGAAACAACATCAATATGACTGGAACAACATCAATATGACTGGAAACAACATCCATATGACTGGAACAACATCCATATGACTGAAACAACATCAATAGACTGGAAACAACATCCATATGACTGTAAACAACATCCATATGACTGGAAACAACATCAATATGATGGAAACAACATCCATATGACTGAAACACATCAATATGACTGGAAACAACATTAATATGACTGGGAAACACATCCATATGACTGGAAACAACATCCATATGACTGGAAACAACATTAATGACTGGAAACAACATCAATATGACTGGAAACAACATTAATATGACTGGAAACAACATCATATGACTGGGAAACAACATCCATATAACTGGAAACAACCATCCATAGGACTGGAAACAACATCCATATGACTGGGAAACAACATCCATATGACTGGAAACAACATCAATATGACTGGAAACAACGTCAATATGACTGGAAACAACCATCAATAATGACTGGAAAACAACATCCATATGACTGAAACAACATCCATATGACTGGAAACAACATCAATATGACTGGAAACAACATCAATATGACTGGAAACAACATCAATATGACTGGAAACAACATCCATATGACTGGAAACACATCCATATGACTGGAAACAACATCCATATGAACTGGAAAACAACATTAATATGACTGGAAACACATCCATATGACTGGAAACAACATCCATATGACTGGAAACACACATCAATTATGACTGGAAACAACGTCAATATGACTGGAAACAACGTCAATATGACTGGAAACAACATCCATATGACTGGAAACAACATCCATATGACTGGAAACAACATCCATATGACTGGAAACAACGTCAATATGACTGGAAACAACATCAATATGACTGGAAACAACATCCATATGACTGGAAACAACATCCATATGACTGGAAACAACATCCATATGACTGGAAACAACATCAATATGACTGGAAACAACATTAATATGACTGGAAACAACATCCATATGACTGGAAACAACATCCATATGACTGGAAACAACATTAATATGACTGGAAACAACATCAATATGACTGGAACAACATCCATATGACTGAAACAACATCATATGACTGGAAACAACATTAATATGACTGGGAACCACATCATATGACTGGAAACAACATCAATATGAACTGGAAACAAACATCATATGACTGGAAACAACATCAATATGACGGGAAACAACATCATATGACTGGAAACAACATCAATATGACTGGAAACAACATCCATATGACTGGAACCACATCCATATGACTGAAACAACATCATATGACTGGAAACAACGTCAATATGACTGGAAACAAAAAAAAAACTTTGTAAAAATATACTGAAACAACATCAATATGACTGGAACAACATCCATATGACTGGAACAACATCAATATGACTGGAAACAACATCCATATGACTGGAAACAACATCAATATGACTGGAAACAACATCCATATGAACTGGAAACAACATCATATGACTGGAAAAACAATCCATATGACTGGAAACAACATCCATATGACTGGAACAACATCAATATGACTGGAAACAACATCAATATGACTGGAACAACATTACATATACTGGAACAACAACATGCATATGACTGGAAACAAATCAATATGACTGGAAAACAACATCCATATGACGGAAACAACATCCATATGACTGGGAAACAAACATCAATATGACTGGAACAACGTCAATATGACTGGAAACAACATCAATATGACTGGAAACAACATCCATATGACTGGAAACAACATCAATATGACTGGGAAACAACATTAATATGACTGGAAACAACATCCATATGACTGGGAAACAACATCAATATGACCGGGGAAAGTAGACAATCAAAATCATAGTGAGAATAATCAGATAATCAAAAAAGGTTCATGTTCCATGCTTGAAGTAACACAAATCCATGTCCCAGGGAACTCCCGTCCCGTGTAGCTCAGTTGGTAGAGCAATGCGTTGTGGGTTCGATTCCCCACGGGGGGGGGGGGGGGGGGGGGGGGGGGCAGTATGAAAATGTATGCACTCACTAACTGTAAGTCGCTCTGGATAAGAGCGTCTGCTAAATGACTAAAATGTAAAAATGTAACTCATGGGATTAAACCTTGAATTAGCAGTTGTATTTCTTTAAATGCTACAAATAACCTACAGTATGCATTGTCCACCCCTCTACAGCACCTGTGGTTGTTTTGGTAGGCCTACTGTAGTGCTTAGTAAAGCTTAGTAAAGGGGTCATACGTATGCTGATCTAGGACCAGGTCCCCCCCATGTCCACGGAATCTTATTCATTGTGACCTAAAAAGGCAGGACCTGATCGCAGATCAGCACTCCTGCTCTGAGACACGGAGCCTCTCCGACTGTAACGTTCAGATCCTGCTCTGAGACACGGAGCCTCTCCGACTGTAACGTTCAGATCCTGCTCTGAGACACGGAGCCTCTCCGACTGTAACGTTCAGATCCTGCTCTGAGACACGGAGCCTCCCCGACTGTAAAGTTCAGATTCAGACTGCAGTAGATCAAGTTTAAAGCAGCTGAGGAAGGTGATTCCATGCAGACAGAAAGACAGACAGAGCACATCTCCTTTCAGAGAGAGAAACCAGACATCTAAAACAACTGTCAGAAGATTATGAGCTGTGGCTATGGTTACACACCGCAGGGGATCAGTGTGTGTGTGTGTGTGTGTGTGTGTGTGTGTGTGTGTGTGTGTGTGTGTGTGTATGTGTGTGTGTGTGTGTGTGTGTGTAGTGTGTGTGTGTGTGTGTGTTGCACACGCCAACGGCCAGATGTAGTCACAGCTGTAAACCATGCCTGGCATACTACCACCATTCACTGCTGTCACCATGGATACCAACAACCCCTAAACAACAACACTAAACTCAGATCAGGCAGTATCTAGTAGCCTATCAGGCAGTATCTAGTAGCCTATCAGGGTTCAGTAATGTCATTTATTAGGCCTCATCTGGCAAGAAAACAAAACTGGTTTCAACAATGATTAGGCCCGTATTCATAAAGTGTCTTGGAGTAGGAGTATTGATCCAGGACCAGTTACTGCCTGTTACTCATTATGATTTAAAAACCACTCCTACTCTGAAACACTTTGAATAAAGGCCTGGGTTTCACATGATCGCTTTAACATTACTAACATATTACTATCAACATAAATCAATACTTTATGCTAACATCCTCACTACCTCACTCTGACCCCTGTCTAAAACATGAGGATGTGACCTCCATATCATCAGTAGATCCTTTAACAGTGACTCCTTGATTAGCTGCTGAAGGGAAGGAAGCAGAGTCATGTCCCCCAGACAACAAAACTACACAATAAGCATCCCGTTTAACTAAAAGGACGATGACCGTTGGGTTTTTCCATAACGAAATATAAACATTTCCTGTTTCTTCCTCTAAGGGGTCAGAGTTCTGTTGTCCTGCTTCTCTCTGTCGTCGGGCAGAGTAGAGGACGGACACGGGAAATGAACAGAACAACAACGGTGTTAATATTTTAAAAAAGAAAGTCAATGGTGTTACTATAAAGATGTCAATGACACGTACAGACTAATTTGCCAGCTGAAAGACCGGTCACTGTAAACAAGTCTAGATTACTAATACTATCAAGTATTTACTACTAAGGAATGTAAAAAATGTTGCATTGTTCAGCAGCAGTGTACCTTTGTCCTGCTTGGACTGACACTGCCATCTAAGTCTTAGTTATTTGGTTTCCATGTTATACTACAACGTCATGCATAGTGTAACACGTCGTCAGCAAAACTGATCCTGATAACGGATTACTGAGCTAGCTGAGAAGATACCAGCTGACGACTGCACAGTTCAGACCAGGTGGAGGAAGCAGAGTCTACATTAAGACGAGCTGAGGAAGGAAGGAAGGAAGGAAGGAAGGAAGTGGGGGTGGACGAGAACAGAGGCCAGAATACAGAGGCCAGAATACAGAGGCCAGAATACAGAGGCCAGAATACAGAGGCCAGAGACAGGCGAGACCAGAGTACAGAGGCCAGGCGAGGCCAGATTACAGAGGCCAGGCGAGGCCAGATTACAGAGGCCAGGCGAGGCCAGAGTACAGAGGCCAGGCGAGGCCAGAGGCCAGGCAAGGCCAAAGTACAGAGGCCAGGCGAGGCCAGAGTACAGAGGCCAGAGTACAGGCGAGGCCAGATTACAGAGGCCAGGCGAGGCCAGATTACAGAGGCCAGGCGAGGCCAGAGTACAGAGGCCAGGCGAGGCCAGAGTACAGAGGCCAGGCCAGGCCAGAGCACAGAGGCCAGGCGAGGCCAGAGAACAGAGGCCAGGCGAGGCCAGAGAACAGAGGCCAGGCGAGGCCAGAGTACAGAGACCAGGAGAGGCCAGAGTACAGAGGCCAGGCGAGGCCAGAGTACA